GGGGGCGGGCGGGGGGGGGTAATGGAATAGGCGGGGGGCGACTGGGCATGTGGGAGGGTGGGGGGCATAGGAGGTGGGTTGAATGGAGGGGGGGTGGAATTGGGGGGCATAATGGGGGGCATAGTGGGGGGGGGTGGGGGGGGGGGCACGGGGCGGGGGGCATAGGGGGGCATGGGGGCATAGGGCATAGGGGGGGCCATTAGGGAAACGAGTCGTAGCTGCACATCATACAATAGAGATCAAGGGTTTGTGTGGAGTAAAATTTACATGAGCAAGAAATGTCAGTTTGAAGATTTAACCATCATCCATTGTACTATACTAGATCATACCGGTCTTGTCTCCTTGCTTTTTATGGCATCCCTATATTCCAATCGAAGAATTTTTTATTTACTTGTCTCCTTTCCTTTTTTTTACTGCATTCATATGCAATAAAAATGGGATATATTTGGGCATAAGCCCATAAAAAAAGTAACATTAGTGGCCTTAATCTATCGCCTCAGACGTTTTGTCATCATTCACATTACATCAGTGCACCAAGTTTGATTGTGAGACGACCCATCATAATTAAGTTTTAGGCACTGACACCATTTAAAAAATCTTTTTTGCCTGAGGCTGTTTGTTGTTGTTTACAACCTTGTAATTTCTGTTTTTCTTTATCATGGTGAATCAGTGTACGTACCAAGTTTTCATTGTTAGACGACCAACCACAAGTAATGAATACGGAGAGTCCGGTTTGACTGCTTTATAGCTAAATTGTTACCATCGTTTTGCTGTAGATAGTTATTTTATCCTTCATCATGATCAACAATGCTCTGCTAGGAAGCATGTATCAGAAAGACAACACATGATTGATAGCCGTGGACTTGAGCCTGTGGAGTTTGACCCCAGGGTAATAAAACTTGTAGACGATTAACTACGCGTTTTATAAGTCGCACACTGACTTCAACTTCCTGGTGTCTCGGCCGCAGTCTTATTGCCAGCCAATTGCAATATGATGTACTTTCTGACGATTCTTCAACTACTACAGCACTTTGGGTAGAGAAATGTGGTATGAAAGAGCTGTTATTTTTCTGCATCTTTATCAAGCTAGCTGTATCATCATTTTGCGATGCAACCTGCTGTGCGGGATGTACCTGATTGCCTTGTACCGTCGAGCGTTAGATAAATACCGTCAGTGTGACCTACACAGGCGACCAGTACTGCCTTTGGTATTACAAGAGAATACTACGAATGCTACTTAAAAGCAACCAGAATGGAGCGACGTGTAGTTAGCTAACGTGTTAACTTTAAACAGACAAGGTCACGCGAAAGGTCGCGTGCCATTAGCTAAATGGGGATAGCTAGCGTCAGTTCTAATTCTCGTAAGCCGCACGACGCACTGTTTATTCGGCGGCAAGCGCGGTAATATGTGGGGTCTCTCATTCTCAAGGTGGTTGAGGAGTACTCCATAGTTAACTAAACGCACCCTAACAGCTCGCAAGTAAAAACGGCAACGAAGCGCGGTCTCTGGCGGGGTTTCAGTGACAAAAGTCGGGCGGTAGCTAACAGGTATTACCCCGGGGAGTATACCCCATCCGTCAAAGCGCAGCAAGCTGCTGCCTAGGCCTTGCTGTAACTTTCTCCGGCGGATCTGCTTTATCGTCGCAAACGGCTGCAAGTGCTTTGTCGTGGGTTTCATACGTCTTTTCCCGAAGTGGTGCTGGTGGAAACACTTGCATTTGGCTCCACTAATAGCAATGTATGTTGTGACAGCTCGAGGGGGTGAGTCCTGTGGGCGTTTCCCTGTTTTAAAGAAAAAAAGCCAATCCGTTATGATATCACTTTTCATGTGTGTATTAATTAAGTGTATTAATGGTCACAGTAATGATCCCAGTTGGGAGCTTTGACAGAAACTCAGCAACAGTGTCCGTGATGATTCAGCACTGACGTCAGTCCTTGATGGCATTTCCGTTTAGCATAATTATACGCGCGCTGTAATGAAATCGCTTGCCAAAAATGTCGTTCTACAGTAGCTATAACAATAAAAACCAGCTAGACTGGTTCTGCATGTATCACCTTTCACGATTACAAAATCTCAGCAAATATAATATTCTTCGACTAGCTACTAGCTATTGAAAAACAAAAATGTATGCCTACCACAATACAGTGCATTGCACTATATAGCTATAGCCATTCACTGTTGTCTTCGTTTTTACCAATTGGACCGCCGCTGTCCTCTCCACGGTTTTAATGCTTTATATAAGCTAAATTATTGTTACCATCGATCTTGCTGTAGCGCACACTGACTTCAACTTCCTGGTGTTTCGGCCGCCGTCTTATTGCAGCACAATTCCTTGAGCCTCTGGTGGTGCTTCTAACAATTACAGCACTTTGGAGAGCTACTTTATCCTCCATCATGATCAACAATGCTCAGCTAGGCATCATCTATAATCAGAAAGACACCACATGATTGAACGTCACATCCGATTACAAAAGCACTGAAGTGCAAACCCTCGGCGCACTGTGACGCGCGCGCGTAAGTGAACGCATGCGCCGTACCACTAATTGATGGGCTGGGTTTAGTTTTAGCTGTTACTCGTGGTCTCTTGCCAGCTCGCGCAGAGTCTGACGCGGGCTAACTACACTACTAGATAGCATGGGAGAGGCGATACACGCCCTGCGTTGCATCTTCTGGTGCCTCCGAGGTACGCAGAGCACGCGGATCGATCATGCCGTAGTAAGCCGTGCATATTGGCTTTTCGCGCTCTAGCTTTGCAACGGAGCGTTTTCAGAGAAAACCGTTCGAAATTTATGACCTTCATTGCCCGTTCAATAGGTGGTATCCTTTGTGAGACGAACGAAAACTAGAGAAGTGAGATGACGAGTAACAGAGAGACAGACAGACAGACACACACACAGACTCAATGAAAAGCACTAAAGTACAAACCCTCGGCGAAGTAGCTCGCAGAGAGTCTGACACGGGCTAGCTAAGTAGCAGATAGCACGCGAGAGTCGATACACGGCATTCGTTGTTACTTCTTGTGCCTTCAAGATAGACAGGACCCGGTGAGGTATACAAGCCTGTGCTAAATACTAGTGCAAATGCTTGGCATTCTTTGGGCGAGCGGAGCGAGAACTCAAAAGTACGTATATACAACCATCGTCATTACTAGCTACGTATATACCTACAGGTAAAATGTTTCAGCAAGTAACATAAACTATTATGGCGTGGTTGAGTAAGCGCATACGTAGCTAGTGAAACTAGACCAGAAGAAAGTAGCAACGGAAAGGTAATGTTCCCGCTCCCCCTCTCCATCTCTTAATCGTCGCTGAAAAGACAAGCCTCTCTGTCGTGAGGACTTTCGACGGCCGGGTCTTCTGTCTGTCTACCTCTTGGACCAGAAGCAGTATCGTTGCCTTGCCCGCTCTCGATCTCGTAATCATCCCTGAAAAACACGAGCCTCTCTGTCGTGAGGACTTTCGACGGCAGGGCATACATAGATAGAAAATTCGAGCCGAAGACACGATTCTCTGTCTGTTTTTCTTCGACGAAGAACACTATCCTCCGCGGATCCAACTGGACGCGGGAGGACGGAGAAAAAATTTCGCACAGTATGTCGTATAATAAGAAGCGCGTAATATTAACGCATGCGCACTAAGACGACGACGGTGCGTCGTATCGTATATAAATTCGAGCCGAAGACACAGTAAGCGCATGCGCATTATACGCCAAAAATGGCGACTATCGGCATTAGCCATACAATGCTGGAAGCGCTCTAGCTCTGCAACGAAACAGAGAAAACCTTTCGAAATTTCTGACCTTCATTGCCCGTTAAGTAGGTCGTATCGTTTGTGAGACGAACAGACATTGGAGAAGTGAGATTGAGAGTAACAGACAGACAGACAGACAAACCCAACTACAGTACCCTCGCTGCGCATGCGCGCCGAGCGTAATAAATGCACTAAAGATCAAACCCTCGGCGAAGTAGCTCTCAGAGAGTCTGGAACGGGTAATAGATAGCACGCGAGAGTCGATACACGCCATTCGTTGTGACTTCCTGTGCCTTCAAGATAGACAGAGCAAGCGGACCCCGTCGAGGTAAGCCTGTGCTAAATATAAGCGCATGCGCATTATCCGCCAGGGATAAAATGGGCATTAGCCATACAATGCTGGAAGCGCTCTAGCTTTGCAACGGAGCATTATCAGAGAAAACCCCACAAATTTTCTGACCTTCATTGCCCGTTGGGTAGATGGTAACGTTCCTGGGACGAACAGACGTTCGAGAGGTGAGATGTAGAGTAACAGACACACGGACAGACAGACCCAATGAAAAGCACTGAAGTGCAAACCCTCCGCGCATTGTGACGCGCACGCGTAAGTAAACGCATGCGCGGTACCTGAGCTTGGTTTTAGTTTTAGCTGTTACTCGTGGTCTCTTGCCAGCTCGCGCAGAGTCTGACGCTGGCTAACTACACTACTAGATAGCATGCGAGAGGTGATACACGCCCTGCGTTGCATCTTCTGGTGCCTCCGAGGTACGCAGAGCACGCGGACGATCAGACTGTAAGCCGTTGTGTATTTGCATATTGGCTTTTTGGAGCAGTTTCAGAGAAACCCGTACAAAACCTCTGACCTTCTGACCTTCATTGCCCGTTAAGTAGGTAGTATCGTTTGTGAGACGAAAAAAAACATTGGAGAAGTGAGATGTTGAGTAACAGACACACACACACACACACACACAGGTACACACAGACCCAAATATAATGCGCATGCGCATTTTCCGCAGCCGTACAATGGTGGAAGCGCTCTAGCTTTGCAACCGAGCATTTGAAAACCGCACGAAAGTTCTGACCTTCATTGCCCGTTAAGTATGTAGTATCGTTTGTGAGACGAAAGAACACTGGAGAAGTGAGATGTAGAGTAACAGACAGACAGACAAACTACAGTACCCTCGCTGCGCATGCGCGCCGAGGGTAACTACAGTACCTTCGCTGCGCATGCGCGCCGAGGGTTAAATAACTTGCACAATCGCTCAACTTCCTGGTGTTTCGGCCGTCGTCTTATTGCAGCACAATTCCTTGAGCCAATGTACTTTCTGGTGGTGCTTCTAACAATTACAGCACTTTGGATAGAGAAATGTGGTATGAAAGAGCTATTATGTCTTTAGCTACGTAGCTTTGCGATGCAAAAAGCAGGTGTGTCAACCTTTTGTGCGGGATGTACCAGATTGCCTTGTACCGTCGGGCGTTCCATCAGTTGACTTACACAGGCGACCCGTACTGCCGTTGGTATTACGAGATAAGAGAAGGAAGATACTTAGCTAGCTAAAAAGTAACCAGAGTTGAGCGACGTGTAGTTAGCTAACGTGCTAGCTATTGCTACTGTAAACCAACGAAGTGACGCGAAAGGCCGGTAGCTACAGCTAGGCATACTAGTGAGATATGAGTGCCATTCATAGCGTCAGTTCAATTCTCGGAAGCCTCAGGACGCACTGTTAATTCGGCGGCAAGTGCGGTGATATGTGGGGTCTTTTCAATCTCAAGGTTGTGGGGGAGTAATCCTTAGTTATGCATTTTGATAGCTTGAACTAACGATCTCCATAGACTCTTCTGGATGACATTCCAATCCCACTTTGACAGTTCAAATCCATGCTGTTATCACCATCAATGTTCATGTGTTAGCATCTCTATAATGCACACCTTCTCCTCCTATCAGTTCTAGGACACCGAGATACAGTATTTGTCTGGTGCCCCTTCGGTACACGCTTTTTTTCATATCATGTTTCCCGATCTATATTTCCTCGTCTATATTCATGTACTGTAAAGCGGAATAATAATACCCGCACCCTACATAGCAGCTCGCAAGTAATAAAGGCAAAAAAGTGCGGTCACTGGCGGGGTTTTAGTGACAAAAGCCGGGCGGTAGCTACTAGGGGTATTACCCCGGGGAGTATACGCCATCCGTCAAAGCGCAGCAAGCTACTGCCTAGGCCTTGCTGTAACTTTCTCCGGCGGATCTGCTTTAGCGTGCTTGTGGAAACACTTGAATTTGGATCCAATAGCAATATGGGAGCTTTGACAGAAAGTGACTCAGCAGCAATATCCGTGATGATTCAGCACTGACGTCAGTCCTTGATGGCATTTCCGTTTAGCATACGCTGTAATCAAAAATCATATCCTTGATTATTAACCATGCGAGGTCTGTGTGTGTTAGGCATTGCTCCAGAGTTTGGGAGGCATGTACCGCATATAGCTTCCTAGTGATCCAAAGTGTACGCATCATTAACTGTCTGTCCTTTTTAGCGTACGGAGCCAATTAGTTGCGTATCTTCGCTTGTAGCTCAACATACCCCGAATTCGGTTCCGGTACCGGTGCAAACCCTATTCCATGCTCTACACGACTCGTAAAGGTTTGTATGTATGCATAGCTCTTTGCCGTAGTCTGGTACTACGGTGGCTTTTAGTGCCACAAATACCATCGTAGAAAACTTCACAACTTCCGTTGTAGAGACTTCCATTCTAGTAACTTCCACTCTAACCCTCACTGCAATCTAGATAGCTAGCTAGCAAGCTAGCTGGCGGGATAGCTGAGGTAGTGTTGCGGCGTCATGAAAGCTGTCATTATACTCAGTTCGCCTCGGCACGATTCATGGGTTAAAGGTTCCATCCATCTTTTTGGTCGCCATCCCAAAGGATACACGATGAAAACTTAATATACACTTGTAGCTCAATGTTCCATAAGTTATATAGTGCTGTGTTGGTCCTGAGATCTACCTGTTGGGACAAGGTTTCAGAATGTTGTTTCTAGTATTTCCAACTTCCATTTTGAGCTCACTTCCATTCTGAACCAACTTCCACGTTCAATTCTGTTCAAATTGTAAGCTAAGCTGAAACACCTTGTTTGCTCCAGAGAACTTAGAGGGAAAACTGCTTTATTCTGCTAATGGTGTTTGTTGTACACAAACAAGGACCCCCCATGCCTTTGTCTGAAGTCACAGTATATTATTGTTATAGCCATAATATGCCACCAAAAGCCAATCCGGTGGAGTTTTCCCAACATCAATGTACATGAAGTCAGTGATCTGTATACTGTCAGTTTTTGCAACACTAGAGATATTCAGTGCATCTTTACAGTACTAGCCTCGTTCCCAGGCTCTCTCTCCACTCTCTGCGAACCATGTATGACCTTTAACCTATGAATCGTGCCGAGGCGAACAGAGTAATGAGAGCATTCATGACGCTGCAACACTACCTCAGCTATCCCGCAAGCTGGACCTTTTAGCTAGCTTTTTAGCAGTGAGGGTTAGAACGGAAGTTACTAGAATGGAAGTCTTTACAACGGAAGTTTTGAAATTTTATACGATGGTATTTGTGGCACTAAAAAGCCACCAAACCCTTCACAAAATATTATGCGCACACGTAAACGCATGCGCGAGAGAGGGTCTGGTGTCCACGGGTCATGAGATTATCATTTATCATTACAATGTTTACTAGACGCAGCAACCCTGACATGTACTGGATGTACCCAACCTCCTAATGAAGCTGACTACTACTGTCCTGGAGAAACACAGTTTTTATACTTTTTTTGTGAAGCTTTTGATTCTGCTCAATTAACATGGGGAATTCCCAACTTAATATTAATCCAATAAATTTTGGTGCAGCAACAGTGTCAGTGAAAAAGTCATTACTAATAACCGAGTCACAGCAATACTCGACAAGAAAGAGACAAATGGTGGACAAGTGGGAAATTTTTCATCTCATCTATGGATTGATTTTAGAAATGTTACAAACATGGAGCTCAACATAACTTGTAAAACTTCCGCAGATACCGCCTACAAAGAACTTCTGCCACTAGGTAAATGTATAATAATTCTGTTTGACTTGACTTCACATGCTGTTTTATTGCAGAAAACACATTCAGTCCTTACGAAATATATGCTGTTGCAACCACCTTGGATCCCGGGATTGATGGACTCTTTGTTTACTATCAATGGAGTCACCCACATCCAGAACAAGTATTTGTCTATGAAACAGAAGTATATGAAAGCGACCAGATCATTCATAGAATGAATGTTTCTAGTGCAATTATGAATGCAACCTGTCAAATAGAAAACATAACCATGTGTAACAACTGTTATTCGGTAGTTGTTACTGCTGTGGATCGGTGTGGACAACGAAGCATGAACTCTACAAACATTGAAATTGGTATGATTTTTTGTACCTGAGTAGTATTTATCATTCGTACACCATCAGAGGGTTGGTAGCTAGACACTAGCTTGCCGAGTGGCACAGATCAAATCTTACGCGATCCACCAACAAAACTCCTTACCTTAGCCAGCCACGGGCAACTCCATAAGTCCATAAGAATTTATATATGGCTATAATACTAGGCGTTAATAATGTTTACATCAATTTCTGCTTATTAAGGAGATACATGGCATCCAAAGGGTTTTAAAGGACGACTTGCTAAGACTTCATAAGACACTAACAATAGCCAACAGGCCCATAACATGTATGTTATTTGTTCCAACAAGTGTATAATCAAAAAGTGCTATGGCTACTCTTTGCTCGAACTATGATTTGTAGCTTTTTAGTCTCGGTAGAAACACGTCAAAAATATATTTGTGGTGTCTAGTTATCGGTACCTCACTCCAAAAAACATGTTACCAGAGCAATGTCTGCAAATGGGTATGAAAAAATAATCCACTGTCAGACCTAAGACGGACACTGCTTGGGCTGCCACTTTCTTTATAACCCAACGACGGAGCGGACTAACTTAGCTGTTCTAAGAAGCTGATAAGATTTTGTCACATGAATAATTAATCAATGGTCTAATAATTATGTGCTTAAATCATGTCATTCTAGTTGCTGATACAAGGACTGTTAAAGTGGAGGACGAATCAAAGCTTAATGCTGCATCAATAACTCTTATACCCATTGTTGCTATTGAAACTGTGCTCATTGTCATTTTGACTGCAATAGCAATATACTTGGGAAGAAGGGGGGTTAGCTATAATTATGTATACATTGGTTAAACATTATGTATAACTTTGAAATGAGTTCATAAGTGTTGTTTTGTTTCATCCTTAGTATTCTCTCAAGTGTATTATAACTATCATCATTATTATATAGTCTACAGATCGAGAATGAATATTGCTATCAATGTGTTTTCTTGCTTAATAATTTTGACTCTGTAAGGGTTAGCTACTGGACAAAGAAAAAATGAATGGGTAAGTTTATGTCTTCATTCTACTTCTCCAAAGCATCACAAAGTACACTATATACAGTTGCATATAATAAACAATATGACATCTGTTTGTACAGTCCACCGTCTAGGACAGAGCGGTTTCAAACTTTTTGCATCAGGAGAGATTGGCGCTGAAATTCACCAAAAAGTGTAGAACGCTTAGGCGAGTAAGAAACAACTGAGAGAGCTCAATTACTAAGTCTAGGGCATCTCGAACTGGGATACACCTACGACCTACCAACTGTGGACAAAGATTTGTACAATGTGCAAAGCAGTGTATGTATATACAGTGCAATGGACATTTCGCATTGGAGCCTGGCAGCAACTCCTGTCAAATGCCCACTCATGTTACTTGCCCCACCATGGCCTGCCCACGGCACTGCACAAGAGGAAGAGAACCAATGCAAGTTAAGCCGTTCCTAGTGGCTCCTTCTGTTGTGCTTGCATTGATTCTCGGTAGCTACATGAATTAGTTCAATAGGATCCTCATGAGTGTTGAAAAATCACTGTCCACCCACCTAATGCACAATGCTAACTGTTCTTTGTTACTAACATCAGTTGCTTCATCAGCAATTATTGAAAACAACTCTGATGAGTGTGAATATCCTTCAAAAGATCTCTCAAAACAATGAGATCCATCAAAGCATTCTCCTGTGCATTTCTTGTTCTGACCTATTCTACTTATGCAGAAAAGCATGCACCCCTTCCTGATGCTGATATTCCATCTTCAAAAGAGCTTTCTTGTTGAGATCAGATTGAGCATGAGAATTGAATTTCTTGAGAGCCTTTTTCCAATTATAAAATCACCAGTTTCCAAAAATGAGCGTTTTCAAAAAAACTTCCCATTGCAGTATGCACACAATGCTTTAGCCCTTTTTTTTACATATTATAAAGAGAGCCATGGGTAGTCTGAATAGCTACCAGGTAGGGCTAAATTGACAAAACCATTTTTCCTGTTCCCAGGGCTGATAAGGTGTCTGTTGTGACTCCTTACAGCACACTGAGCGGCAAACAGACACTTCCTGACTGTTACGCTGCGACTCACTGCCACTGTTGTCTTCAGAAGGCCTTCTCTAGTGAGCGTGCACGTCTCCGCCAAGGGTTTACACTTTAGTGTGATTTTATCATTGGCCTACCTTCCCAGTAACCAGCACCCTTCCCATACTCCCAGCCTTAAATTTCTTTAGCAGGCAAAGCTAATCTCCAACGCTAAGGACTCCCTGGGTTTTCCCACCCCATCCCGCCAACGCGGTACCGCCATGCGTGCGCACACATACGTAATACCATGCTCCGGGTTTTGCTCAAAACAAAACTAAAACCACCAGGGTAGGGCCTTGCTTGCTCGGCCTTCGCCTAGGCATAGGTTTGCTCAGGTGGAAATGCCAGGAGAGCAGCCAGAGAGGCATGAGAAAATTAAGTAGGAGGGAATAAGAAACATGTAGCTAGGACTCCTACCACCTAGCCGGCCTACCACAACTTGAACCTCACGTGAATGAACGGAGGCTTGAGAAGAGTATATATATATCTGAGAACAAGAATGACCATTAACAGTGTTACTTTACAGGCACAGTGTTGGGAACAATCCACTCTTGTCAGACTATACCGTTATCAAACTATAGTTCCTGGTATGTATTGTTACGTAATGTACGTACCTAGACTGCTCTAGAACTAACCAGCCACATGTTTGTACAAGTGTGCAGTCAATGATAAAGTGAGTAAGCTACAAGCACAGATCTTTGCAGCAGGTTGTACCCATACACACCGAGTCTATCATCAACAAACGACAAAAAGTACTCAGTGCCAACCAGCGATTTTTCGTTCATTTTCCCACACAAATCGCTATGCACGAGATCGAGAGGCTCCTCTGCCCTTCGACTGCTTGAAGAAAACTTGGTACTATGGTCATCAATGCAAATTTGCCACACAGATTTTGGGCTGAAGCCTTCTTCACTGTCACTTACCTGCGCAACAGAAGCCCTACTGAAGCAGTTGGTGGGATGACTCCTCATGAAGCCTGGACAGGAGAAAAACCACGAATTGATGGACTTTGAGTTTTCGGGTGCCAAGCCTTCGTACACATACCCAAGGACGAAAGAAAGAAGCTGGAGTCAAAGTCTAGGAAGTGTGTTCTCATAGGATATGGAACAACCCTCGATTATATGATCCACTGAAGAGAAAGGTGTTCCACAGCAGAGATGTCATTTTCAATGAACAGAAGTGTGGTTTCGAGGAGCCCTCTCAGAAGCTGACACAACCAGTTGTGTACCTCGAATATTCAGATGAGCCTTCTGAGGCAGTTCAGCCATCCGCATCTGCAGTAAGTCGAAGGTGAGGGGAGACAAGACTGACTTCTATATATGGTTTCCGATGTAACATGTCTAATGTCAGGGAGCCAAAGTCTGTTAGTGATGCTCTGACCAATCAAGAATGGTTTGATGCCATGAAAGCAGAAATCAACTCCCTCCATGATTACAGCATCTGGGAGGGAACTTGTACAGTGTCCAGAAGGCCGAAAGCCTATAGGGAGCAAGTGGGTTTATAAAGTGAAGATGAATGCTGATGGCTTTATAATTATATCGAGAGATATAAAGCCCGTCTCGTTGCCCAAGGGTATTCTCAAAAGGAAGGACTCGATTATGATGAAACCTTCAGTCAAGTAGTACGATCAGAATCTCTTTGCTCCGTGATTGCCCTCGCGTCAAAGAATGATTTAAAATTGCACAATATGGACATCACCACTACTTTTCTCAATTGTGATTTAGAGGAGGAAGTTTACATGAAGCAACCCGAGGGTTTTCTAGCGGAGGGTCAGGAACATTTAGTTTGTCGACTCAAAAAGAGTATATATGGCCTTAAACAGTCGCCCAGATGTAGGAACCAAGCACTAGATGCACAATGAAAGCTGATGGGTTTTACAAGTGATCCCTGTATCTACACCTGAACAACAGAATCGATGGTCTGTTCATTTTGGCTGTGTATGTAGACGACATTCTGTTAGCAGGGAAGTCTCAGCACAAATTTCACAAGTTGAGGCCGATCTTGGAAAGCGATTTGAACTCAAGGATATGGGTGAGCTCCACTATTTCCTTGGAGTAAGTGTACAGCAGTGTGCAGAAGGGATATGGATTGGTCAACCAGCATAATACCCAAGCTGTTGTCAAGAAATTCGGAATGGAGCACTGCGAATCAGCTAACACCCCAGTAACTTCAGGAGCAAAACTGCTAAAAGCTACTGAACAGTCTGAAGTTGTTGATGCTACACTATACCAGTCCGCAGTTGGTAGTCTATTGCATCTATCTGGATAGACTATATAGACCAGATATTCCATTTGCAGTTAGCAATGTTGCCAGACTTTGTTCCAGTCCTACTATAAAGGAACACTGTACTGCAGTCAAACGTATCCTCGGGTATATACCTGAAGGGAACATCTAACTATGGTCTCTCATACTCAAGGCAAGACAATAATGGTACATTGATCGGATATTCAGATGCCGATTGGGCTAGTGACGTCAATGACCGTAAATCCACCTCTGGTTATCTTTTCATGATGAGTGGTGCAGTAGTAAACTGGAAGAGTTGTAAACAAATGTGTGTTGCTCTCTCTACGGCAGAAGCCGAAAATATTGCACTGGCTGGTGCGGTCCAAGAAGCTACCTGGATGAGACAACTATTGGAAGATCTTCACAATGGTCAATTTGAGCCAACTGTCATTCTTGAAGACAACCAGTCAACTATTTGCATTGCCCAAAATGCTCAATATCACAGCAAGACCAAACACATCGATATTAAGTATCATTATGTTCGAGAGAAAGTTCTGGACAGCACTATCGAGCTATAATAATGTCTAACAAGTGAGATGATTGCCGACATCCTGACAAAAGGACTAACCTACGACAAGATTTTTATGGCTTCGTGAGATGTCAGGGGGAAAAGAACAGTCAGACTTGCAGTGAGAAGGAGTGTTGGGAACAATCCACTGTTGTCAGACTATACTGTTATCAAACTATAGTTCCTGTGATGTATTGTAACGTAAGGTATGTACCTTGACTGCTCTAGAACATTCCTGCTCTAAAACATTCCTTTTGTAACTAGTATTTAACCAGCCACATGTTTGTACAAGTGCAGTGCAGTCAATGATAAAGTGAGTCAGCTACAAGTGCAGATCTTTGCAATAGTTTGCACTTTATATAGTGTTTTTCATTTCTAGTTCACCTACATCAATGACAAGTAGCTACTTGCATATGAGACAGAGCTAAAAAAGCATGTAGGGATGATGCATGATTTTTTTTGTTTTCAGCTGAAGCAGCTTCTTGTTGGTATACTTTTAATAATTTTACACCATCCCTATATCCCCCTTCATTTTGAAGAAATGATTTTTTTCTACTTGTAATAATTATCGACGACAAATTTTAGAATGCGATATTAATCAGTACTGTACAATGTTTAAAATGATTAAATCTGACATTCATTGCAGATGAGGCTGCCATGGCTGACGTGAGGGAGCTGTGTGCAGTCATAACCACACCAAGAGCACTGAAACTCCATCTGAAAGTTGTAGTGGCTTCCATTCTCTGTCATATCTTCAAACACTTTCCACTGCCTCCTCAAATGAGTTAAGCACATGCTTTGTGCCTTTGGAATCGAACAGAGTGTACCCCCTAGCCTCAACTTTCTTCATCAACTTTCCCGTTGAAGCTGTACGGTCAATACAGTGCTCTGTGGCTAAAGAGTACTGGCTTCCATAAGAGAGAGCACTTTGCAGGAAGACAATAGTGTGCTTTATTTTCCCCTTCTCTTCCTGTAGACGGTTTCGTTGCCCTGTGTAGACCGATTTTTCTCCATTGAGCTTCGCTGCGGCGGAAGTCAAAGTAACTATGCTTCTCTCGGCTTCTTGGATTTTGCGTTCAGTGCTTCTAATCTGATTCTTGAAATGTTCAACTTTTCTCTCGGCATCTTTCTCTAATTCTGCAAAAACGAATGGAATAGCAACCAAAGGAGCAGCAGCACCAAAAGTAGCCAGAGTGAGTAATCCGGCTGCAATTCCAGAGACTATCTTCCCTGTGTTTGCATCTCTACTTTTACATCTGGCTTCAGAAAGATTACATTCAGCAGACCCTAGGGCACTTATATGTTCGTTCCGTTTCTTTTCCTGGTGGTAGAGGTTGAGCTGTGCAGCAGCCTTTTGGCTTTCTAGCGATCGCTCCTTTGCATGTACGGCACTTATTGCTTTTGTCAACTCCTTTTCTTTCTGGATGTAATGTTCCTGCACAGCGTTGTATCGCTGTGCAAGGTAGCTGATTTGCTCCTTGTGATTTACAGCGCTCACTTCAGCCTTGGCTAGAGTGGCTCTTGCAGATCGAAACCTTCCTTCTTGCATTTGGCGGCTGGCTGTCTGTGCATGTTCCAGGGACATTTTCCCGACTCTTTTACTGCAATGCCATTCTGTGAAACAATGAAAAATGATCTTAGTCTAGGCGGGAAGTGTCTGCGTGAAAAGGTAGCCCTATGTATGTCCCGGTGAAATGGTCTAGCGGCAGAGGCCAACATTAAGGGATACAAAATTGAGTTATAAAATGCCCCAATGTGTGGTTGTAGCGTTGTATTGTTTAGTATTAGAGAGTCGGTAGACTCTCTATATAGGGATGACACGAGTGAAATCTCACGTGATCCGCGTACAAAACGACTAAAAACTCGGTGAGAATCACTCCCTAGGCCTTCAAAACATACTAGCAATAGTCTACGGGCCAATATCTACCTATACATGGCCCCCAAGAGCTCATATCGCACCTTCAGTCGTCCACGCGAGAATTCGCTCATACGCGATTTCACGATTTTCGTGTCATCATAATTCTTCTTCTTCTTCTTCTTCTTCTTTAAACCCGCTATCTCCTTACCAGTACCAGTTCAAGCACTGATTTTTTCACTGAAGGTCTCCAATTTCGCCGGAGGTGTGCACGGACATCAAGCGATCGTTTCTTTCTTGCCGCTAGTCACTACGGTAGATCATGGAGCTCTTCCATGGTCGACCTGAACAACGCCATTTGCTGCTTACTCAGCATCAGTGATCCGCGCGCATGCGCAAGGTAGGGGCGTTGTCCAATGTGCTTGCGAGCGTATTCTACCGGGCGAGTTGGCAGACCTGCAGAGGAACTGTCAGCCTCCAGTACCTTCTGTAAGTAAGTGTGCACATTTCCAACTGGCTATCTTGCTGTTGATTTGCACGAAGAGCAACTTGCCAGAGTCAGCGCGGTGTTACGGGAGCCTTGCGGGGCACTCAGTCAAATGGGCCTTCATTGTTTGTCCCCCCCCTGGTTGTAGCCTGATTACCAAAGCCTGCCAATGAAAACCACACCATGTGCAATAATCTAATTACATCCTTGTTGAAGACATACATGAGTGATGAAATGCGGTAGCTCTCAGCCCATGTAGCGACTACTCGGCAACATGTGTACTAGTCGTAGCGTATCTACCAATGTAACATCAGCGTGACTACTGTAACACATGATGAAAAGCAGGGAAGTGCAAACCCTGGCGGCGGGGAAAACGCGCTATGCGCGGTATATTAGTATGCGCGGTCTCCCGGCTAGTATTAGCTCGCAGAGAGTCTGACAAGGGCTAGCTGCAAGTAGTAGATTAGCATGCGAGAGTCGACCCGCGTACACGCCTCGTTGCGTGACTTCTTGGTGCCATTTTTAAAAATCACAGAGCAAGAAGACCCGGTCCTGTGCTAAATATAAAGCGCGTTGATGCGCATTTTCGCAGCGATTAAAAATGGCCGCCTACGCATAGCTCGTACAACGGTGGAAGCGTTTCTAGCTTTGCACGGAGCGTTTCAGAGAAAACCGGTCCAGATTTCTGACTTCATTGCCGTCGGTAGGTTGGGTTGGTATCCTTTGTGAGACGAAAGAACACTCGAGAAGTGAGATTGAAGAGTAGCAGACACACAGACAGACAAACCCAACTACTGTAACCCTCGCTGCGCATGCGCGTCGAGGGTTAATACGGTTGTAGAACAGAAGCTCTGACTAAAGCTCTTCCTCAGTGTTTTCCACTAAAAGTAATTTCTAATGTTGATCTAAGCAATCTATGACCATATGCTGGGGTGTGTTTTGGGCAGCTTGTGTTGTCTTGTGTGAGTGCTTTAGACTATGATATTAGCTATATATATGTGAATACTGACTCTCAACGTTTCATGTGTTATTAGAGAGTCGGTAGACACGGGTGAAATCTCACGTGATCCGCGTACAAAAGGACTAAAAACTCGGTGAGAATCACTCCATAGGCCTATAAAAGCATACTAGCACTAGTCTACAGGGGCCAATCACTATCTACCTATATACACTAGTCCCACCAAGACCTCATACGCACCTTTCGCGTCGTTCATCGAGAGATTCGCGCTTACATGATTTCACGATTTCGTGTCATCATCATATTCTAAAATCTCTTCTATAAAACTTTAAACTGTGCTCTCTCCTACCGTACCAGTGCAAGCACCGATTTTTTCACTGAAGGTCTCCAATATTCGCCGGAGGTGTGCATGACATCAGCGAAAGATCGTGTCTTTCTTGCCGCTAGTCACTACGGTAGATCGTTGAGCTCTTCTCAAATGGTCGATCATCTGAAGACGCATTTGCGGCTAACTCAGCAATCCCAGTGAGCCGCGCGCGATGCCGAAATCGAAGGAGGGCGCTCCAATGCGCTTGCGTTGCGCATTCTACAGCGAGTTGGCAGCCTGCAGAGGAACTCTCAGCCTCCAGTACACTTTTAGTAAGTAGTGTGTACATTTCCTACTTTCCAACTGGCTAGCTTGCGCCCCTGATTTGTCACGAAGAGCAATTGCCAGAGTCTGCCGCTGTGTTACGCGACGCCTTGCAGGGCGCTCAGTCAACTGAGCCTTCGTTCGTTTGTCGCCAGGTTGGGCCTTGATTACCAAAGCCTGCCACCACCAGTTTGCAATAAGCTAATACATCCTTGTTGAAGACAAACATGCGGTTATCTAACGCTGTATCATAGCCCACGGCTTCAGGCCCCATTAGCTACTACATTTCACAATATCCAATTTGTTGGCCTATCTACAACATACCCATGAAGTCACGTATATGCAGTAGTGCTGTCATGAGCGGTTAAAACTAGTGGAAACAAGTGGGCAAAATCAGTTCTTCAAATGAAAGGGGATATAGGGATGGCTTGAGCACCAAAAAGAAGAAACAGGGGTCCTACACAGCAGTTGCACAAAGCGACATGACACCATCCCTATATCTTGTGTATTGTATTGAGCCATAAGCAAAGTTTAATATCAAACAATATCAAACAAAGATATCGGGATGGTGCATGTAGCTTGTGTCACCTTTGCATGTGTAATATTGACCCTTGTTTCTTTCCTTTTGTGTGCTTCAGCCATCCCTATATCCCATGTCATTTGAAGAAATGATTTACACTTTGGAAATTTCGCATTCTTGGGAAAAAATGAGCTTGCTCGTGACACCTTGGGCCTCAAAGCAGCCCTTTGTACTCAGTGACTTTAACGGAATGGAAAGAGGGCGAAACAGAACGCTCTTATCATACCTACCTGACGCACTCTACCGATCTCCCTGCTATCCCCTCCCCACATGTTCCCACAATCATAGTACTCCTCTGTACTCCCATCCCCCTATCTGATCCACTCCATCTCGAACCAAACACCAGCAACCAAAAAACCACAACAAAACATAAAAAATATTGGCTGTTTTTTGTTTAATGATAGCTCGGTGTTTATGGTATTTTTCAGATTGAAGAACGAGAAAGACACAACAAAGAATTTAAACCCTTTAGGACGCCCAGGGTATCTGCTTCAACTGGCAGAAATGGATAAAAATATTAGCGCCCAGGATTATAACCCCCATAAAAATTCTTTGACTTCTGAAGCTCTGGACAGATTTATGTGTCTAGTAGGCTAGGTTAAGTGTAATAACAAAAGCCAGAGATAGCACAAACAACAACAAATAGAGAACCTCTCGAAGCCATTGCATGTTCTCTAGTAAAATGCTATCGGGCATGGCCTCTTTGGAGGATGAGTTACCACGGATGTATAGCGAATTGTAAGCAATTTGGCCCATAGGAATTGGAAAACAATGATGAATTCTGTGTGTGTGCTCCGTAGCAACAGGTTGTGTGTGCTGGTTCATTCATTAAGATTCCGAACAAGTCCTTGAGCTAGCCTATTATATCTACAATTAGCCCTCGACAGCAGGCACACAAGTATTTGGGAGAGTGAAAGAAAAAAGTATTCGGTTTGCATGTGAACAGTGTTTATATGGTTCAGACCTTTAAAGTATCTCAGGTATTGTATCACACTGTCTCCTCTTGTAGCTATGAGTGGAATTAATAATGGACCGTGCTTACTAGGTACGTATTGGCCGGTTTGTAAAAGTACTGCATGCGAGCGAGTTATGGAATGCAAAAAAGGCCAATATGACAAATTAGCACAGGCTCACTCGACCAGATTCCCTTGATATGTGGTACCTTGGAGGGCATCAGAAGTGAGTTGCCAGCGCAGGGTGAGTATCAACTCCTGCATGCTATCTAGTAGTAGTAGCTCGGACGGACTATCAGTGAGAGGGTGGTAAAGACCACGGGGGGGGGAGCTTGACAAAAGTTACAAATTAGCAAGCCACAAATTAAGGTATTAAGGCCGGATTGAGAAGGCATGGCTGTGTTATTGATCAAGCTAATCACAGTTCATTTAGAAGAGTCAGCTAACAAAATCCCCAGGGACCTTCCCTCCAAAATTATTAGGACAGAGCCAAACTTCAGATTTTCTCCATGGCACAAAGGTCTTAAAGAACAATGGGCACCATGCGTCCATTCGAATAAGCTGAATGTGCGGAGAGAGAATTTTGAAAAAGTGGAATCACATTTAGCTATGTTTACTGGTAGCAGATATCATCTGAGTAAAAGTCTTTGAAACTTACAAAGAAGGCTTCTTCTTACTCTACTTGTAACATGAGAGTGCAAAATTTCTCTAAATTATGGGAATAGAAAACAGGAGGGCTGAGGACGCTTTAGTTCCCCCCCTATCTTTTTCACACATGCCAGCAGATGGCAGGTCGGTTGACTCTCTTAATGTCTTTCCATACAGAGAGCGTCATTCTGACTTTGCAGCAGTCCTAGGGTTTTCCATAGTTCATGTGCATTGAAATTCAAGACGTAGCTACCTACAGTTACTTAATGTTGTGTGTGATGCCCGAGAAATTAATTTAGGTGTGCACAGTCCCTTCACAGTTTAAAGACACTGCATACAACTAAACGTGTCTCTTAGCACAAGGATGGACTAAGTTAGCTCTTCTTTATTAAGGTAGATTGTCTGGTGGGGAGGTCTCTAGCTACCAGTTTCTCTTTAATAACGGACAGGTTTGAGCTGGTAGGTTAAAAACCACCAACAAATACAAACCAACCAACCAAATTATACTACGTATCAATGTGGGGGGATCTCACCAGAGTGCTTTTGGTAGAGAGTTAGTTAAATCCCTGCAGAAGTGTCAAGGAAAAGGGGAATGGGAAAGACCAGAGATGCCGAAGAAGAAAAAAGCGTCGGCGCGAATAGAAGGTGGAGTGATGGGTATGCTCCCGACCAACGGAGGGTGTATCTTCGCCTTTTCGTGCCCTGGGACAGCGGGAGAACGGCATGGTGTTGCGGTAGCTACGAGCTACATAAAGCCACCCCGGAGATAATTTGCAAGTGTAGCTGGTATATAAAACCCCAGCACCGCAGATATAATCCATGAGGGGGACCCTGGGACTTCCCCAAGGGTGAGGTCTCCCCCGGGACTTCCCCATGGATTTATCCCGCCACATCACGCAAACCTTCCCACCAAGCGCGTGGGCGGGTATATCACGCCAAAAGACGGGCGGTAGAGGGAATGAGGAAGATTGAAGATTAATTATGGTCGGATGAATTATAAATATAAAAGAACCCTTAACGAAACGAAAGGCCACCAATAATAACCTTATACCCCTACGCGAATGTGTTGACTCGTCGTAGTACACCGCCACGCCAAAGAAAGCTACGCAGACAGGACTGGACGGATGCGACAGGAGCAGGAATACCTTAAGTAACTGGATTACTGCCTTGAGCATGCGCCGGCGGTTTCCGGGTTATTTGTCATGTGAACCGAATTCCTCCTGTGTTTAGCACGTAAGTTTAGTTCCCGCCGTAGAACCAGTGCAGAATTACGAAGTTGAAGTAATGTTTAAAAGCCCTTTCACCGGCTCACCTTGGCTACACAGCGTTACCTAACATCTTTCCTAGGCCTTTATGAATCAAAACCTGTCGCCTTATGTCTTCCGTGATTACTGCTAGTAAAAATTTAAAAACCTCGCTTCGCTCACCAAATTCCTCTATTCTAGTAAAGTCAACAAACCCTGTATATCACTGCATTTTGATGCCTTGACAACCATACTGCCAGTAGTTATCTGCCGCACACAATCAATTACATTAACACTACAGCTAAAGTTCTCAAAAGTTCTCGATCAGTATTGTGGCTAATCATCTACTGCTTGTCGTCACCATCAAGCTCATATGTCAGCATCTCTCTCATTATTCTCGCTTTAAAGAGCTCTCTTGGCTAAGTCAAAAATCGTTCTTAAACTCCTCAGCAAGCCTTTGATATTTTGCTCGGCTTATTATTACGTGGATTAGGGTTGTGATGTACCGGTAAAGAGCTCGTATGTGTGTCGTGTATGGTGAGCATATTACTCCAACGCAGACACCGGAAGGGAAAAAAAACTAAAGGAGCCCGTTTTCACTAAAGGAGAAAAGGAAAGTAGGCGGGAGGGGCGTAAACAAGCTGCGGTGGCATAGTCTGGGGGAACCGCGGGGGGACCAGTGGGGGACGAGGCAGGGTTTGGAACCGCCAGTCGTGGCAAGATCTGGCGACTCGGAGAGCGGGATCCGTCCCCAGCGTCGGGGGCAACACGGGGAACGCACGGCAGCGGCCCCAAGGGCCTTTTGAAGTGGTCCTTCATGTCCAAGGAGAGTGAAGCTTGCCTCATAAGGACAGCAGCTAAGGTTTTTTAAGGCCGCCAAATTGCATGGGAGTGCTTGATCGGCAGTTTTCAGCCAATCTCTTTTTCTCCACGATCACGAGCTTAATCTTGATGGCAAAACCTCGGCAAAGATGCTGAACGTTGCTCTTTTCTTAGAGTCTCAGTCTACTGGCGTTTTTGAAGAGCTCAATTTTCTTCTTTTCCAGTGCTTCACTTTCTTCTCCATCTCCCCTGCCGTAAACCCCTAAAACCAAGTGCTGCTGCAAAGTAAAAGCTCGAGGTTACAAACGTTGATAAGGCGCACCAGAATTACTTCCGTCTACACGAGTGCCTCAAAATTGCCTCATCTTCATTCAATTTCGTATCCCGGACTGCCCGCTCTGCGTCGAGTTCCGCCCGTTAGGGCATCCTTGACGGAGTAATCCTGGAGCGTCCTGTTTCTCTTTAAGTTCATCTATTCTTTATGTTTTGGTCATGGACCAAGTTTTGTGCTGTTGCCCTGCGAAATCTGAAGTTTTTTTGGCCACTTTTACGCACTGTATGCCGGATTGTCAAACGATCTTGGAGCTCTTTGGATTGATTTCGGACCCATCTGCCAGCTCTCTCAAAACCCCGGCTTATACCCCATTCTTCGAGCCTTCTCGCTATATCCCCCTCCTTCCCCTTTCTACTCCACTATCTTCTCTTTCCAATTTCGAAACGGACGAATAGCGTCGTATTCAAGGGCACGACATCTTCAAGTGTCGAGCAAGTACTTTCGTCGTCGGCGTGCAGGCGGTAATGATCGCGGGGAAAAGAGAAAGTTGGAAAAGGGAGAATAGGTGACTAGAGGAAGATGTAGAACAGCTAGCGTAAAGTCGTAGCCGGAGGGTCTTTATCTCATCGGTGTTACGTGAATTTCGGTCCCGGTTCGCTTTACGAAAGGGTAGATGAGATAGAGGATAACACCACACAAACATAAAATCATTACAAAAGATTCAGGGCTCTTACCACAGGGAGCAGTCCCTTTCAGGTAAATTGACCGAGCACTCATTGCGCTATGCGAACAATGGTCTGGTTTGGTCGGCGCGCCGGCAGGAACCACTAGAGAAAGGCTGGTCGCTCGATCACTACCTCCACGTCGTTCCCACTTCGCAGCGAATGAGAAACTTGCTCGGGCGCAACGTTTTTATAGATGACGCAGGTCTAGGGTAAAACCCCTGGGGTGGCCTAACCAACTGACCTAGCCAAACGCAAGTTCACCCC